CTAATGCCTATCATGAGTTTCTTTTTTATTTTTTTATTTTTCTAATAAATAATGTAGTTTCTCCTAATCTCTCTTGTTTGTTATTTTTTTTTCTTGAGTTTGCTAATAGCAATATTAAAATATCTTTTAATTCAGTGTGTTATAGCCAAAAATATTGGAACTATAGAAATTAATATGATCATGATCAACGAAGGAGTTAGGATTTTAAAATACCAGGAGCTAATCATGAAATTGGGATCTCCGATTCTTTTTAAATTAAAACTCGACGATTATAGAATCATGACTAATATTTTTTGGACCCAACTCCCTTTCACTATTAATTAACCTCTGAAACCACCAAAAACACATTTCATCTTATTACGAAAAAATGTCTTAACAAGTTTTGTAGCTGAAACGTCTTCTCTGTGTTTGTCGTACGCACAGGGAAAGTTAAAACAAAATGTATCAACATATCAAATAAATTAAATAAATTAGATTAAATAAATATATTTGCCTCAAGGACTAAATTGTAATACGTTAAAATTTTTAAAATTGAGATAAGTCCCAAGAAATTATCTAATTTGAAAAATAAAAAGTAAAATTTCTAAAATATTTTGTGCGTCCCGAATGGGGTCGGATGCGGAACTGGTGTGGACTGTAACGATCGAATTTTCAATTTCGACTGCTAAATTCTGTTATCGTTGGTGATCAAACAATCTAGGTCAGCCCAATTGGCTTTGTCATCTATTGGGCCCAAATTGATGTCAGGCCCATCGGATTTTGAAATTTTTTCCGTACGATTTCGGTCCCATGTCGCCGGCCCTGCCCGGTGCCATGTCTAAATTCCAGGATGCAGTATCAAAAACTTACTAATCCTCGTAGGTAGGAATGTGGAACAAGTTTGGGCATCTGGACGAGGGCACGACTAGATGAAATGAGTCTTGTGAACTCAGGCGTTGCTCCAATTACACGACCATTGAATCTCGGGATTGATTACTTGGCTTGGGCCAAATACATGTCGAAATGGGCTTAATTACCTTGTTTTGTGATGATGTTGTACGCGATTCGTTGATTGGTTTAGGAGGGTGGCTTAGTGATTCAGAGGGAGTGTGTTGGGCAGCTTTTGCATCT